TGTGTGTGTGTGTGTGTGTGTGTGTGTGTGTGTGTGTGTGTGTGTGTACATAAGTAAAAAATAATACCATCATTTCTTTCATCATAGTTAACGGTCATAATAGTCATAGTCATAATATTTAACTGTTTGTACAGAACGCATGACAAAACCTTTAAGTGCAGCCAATAATTGAACAACATAGAGGAAATCAATGGAAAACACACTTCATTTTACGTGTGTTTTTGTCTGTTTTCAGGCCATCAGCTCTTTGAATAAGTATCCATTACCGCTTCAAAACGCCAAAGAGGCAAAGATCCTGCAGAACTTTGGAGACGGCATCTGTAAAATCCTGGATGAAAGACTGCAGCGGTACCGTAGAGAAAACGGTAAGACACCTGAACTATTGTTTGACTCTCTTTTTTTCGTAGCACTTTGCCACGAGACAAGCCCTTTGTGATTCTGTGGAGTCGTGTTTCTGTTAAACACGAGACATAAAACTAGAAGTTGAAGTTATCAGTTTACACCAGCTGCTCTGTCTTTGTCCTCCTCTGCTGTAGGTCCAGATTCTCTCCCTGAAGGACTGCCCCCTCCTGGCAGACCGGACAACAACAGCCTGGCTCCCTCCAGAAAGGTAAATAGGGAGAGTGTGTTTGTCTCACTGTGTAAAGACATGATTACATACCAAAAATACAGCAATCGTAACATTTCCAAATGGACAAATTGTTGGAAATTTGTATATGTAAGGAGGAGTAGTTTGAGTTTAGATTACTTCAGTGACTCGGTGTGATCGCTTCCGTTTTTTTTTTTGTTTTATCTTTCCTTGTAGAAGAATGCAGCAGGGGATCAAGGGAAAGAAGGAGGAGGAGGAGGAGGAGGAGGAAAGAAGAAGAAGAAGAAGAGGAGGATGAGGGAGTACGTGCCCCAGAAGAGGTCTGGGGGTTATGCAGTACTGCTCACCCTCTACAGACAGTCACAGGTGCAACTTTCTCCATCACAGTAGTTTAAATTAGTTAAAAGTATTGCATTGTGGCCTCAGTAATTAAAATCACAATGTGTCATCTCTCTCTCCCTCTCCCTCTCCAGATCGCAGGAAGCAAAGGTTATATGTTTAAGATGGAGCTACAAGCAGAGGCTCAGCTTCTCTGTGATAAGTCTTTCACTGTTGTAAGTGAAATATTGTTTATAACACAACGTTCCCAATCCGACCTTTTGCTCTTGTTAACCCCTGTTAAGTGGGTTTATTTTCAAATTAAGTAGTTTCCCTTCTTCCTTTTTGTTCGTGTGTGTGTGTGTGTGTGTGTGTGTGTGTAGCCAGATTTAGGCAGTAAGTACACCGCCTGGTCTTCAGTGAGCACTCTGATCCACAAGAACTTCATCACAAAGACCCACAACCCTGCAAGGTACACAGGAAGATATTTATATGTATTGCCATGACATTTGTCAGAGGCATTCATGTTCCCCTCAGGATGCTGATGTGGGCATTTAGCACATCCTTGTGTAGTTGCTGGCATACATGTCTATAGACTCTTAGTGTTGCTAATGATATGAATACAGCGAAGACAACTTGTTTGGTTAGCCGATGAAGTTCCCTCTCCTTCCTCGCTCAGGTATTCTCTGACTGAAGAGGGTCTGGCTTTGGCGGAGCGACTTGAGTCGGTAGAAGAAGACACTAAAGACTGCTCTGAGGGGGACAGGGAGGAGGCTAGGAGTGAGGAAGAGGTGGAGGAAGAGGAATGTGGTGCTGGGCTTGTGGACCTCACTGCTAGTGATGACGAAGAAGAAGAAGACGGAACATCGTGAGTGTGCTTTAAATGAGTGACGTCTTCACTTTCTGCTCTTTTTCCTGCTGGAACAAAATAAATCATCGTCTCTTCACAGGCCTGCAGAGAGGCCGACGTGTGTCGCCCAGCAGAGGAGTGAGGTGGACGGGATGAGTTTTTCGGGAAAACCCCAGAACTCACAGGCAACGAGCAGAAAGCCGAATGCAGGATGTCTTCTGCCTGGAGCCTACGAAGTTATCCTCTGTGTGGACTTCATTGAGACAACCGGGTAAGAGAGCATGTCTGGATGTATCCGTGTGAGTCAAAGACGCTCGTGTTGACTTGTTGACTTGTCCGTGCAGCGGGAGCAACCACCGCAAGGATGAGCTGGTCAAAGAGCTCCAGAGAAATGGAGTGAACTTCGATGTGAGGAAGCTGAACGTTGGAGACTTCCTGTGGGTTGCTCGAGAAAAGGTTGCACCTGTTCCAGGTAACGCAGACACACCCAGAAAGATCAAACTAAGGGAGTGATGTCAGAGAAAACAAGAGAGAACGGTTTTAAAACGGTGTTATTAAAAGTTTACTCACCTACTGAGGCGTGAATATCACCATATGGTATTTGCATGTCGCCCATATATCTACATGAAATAAGAATGCATTATAATCTTTCTCCAGGCCAGCTGCGTGCCCCTACAGGCAGGGAGCTCGTCCTTGATTACATCATCGAGAGGAAGAGGATGGACGACCTGTGTGGTAGCATCATTGACGGACGCTTCAGGGAACAGAAGGTCGGTTGCTGCTCGGTGCAAATTCTTCTAATTATTAATTTATTTATTCAAATTATTAGTAAGTTAGACTGTAAGTATGTCGGTTACCTGAGATCCTATTGATGCCGTAACATTGCTTGTTTTGTCTCAGTAATAGCCAATAAATGCTTTAAAATATTGAATTAAATGTTATGTAAATTGTGTGGAGAGCAAAAGAAGCTATCCCATGGGCTCTTTAGCTTAAAATGAGCTTATGAACAATGACGTGCACACAGAAGATAACGTCTCCCTTGATCTCTTCCCTGCATCAGTTCCGGCTGAAGAGGTGTGGTCTCCGGAGACCCTGCTATCTGGTGGAGGAGTGCGGGTCGGCGGCCTCCCACCTGAGTTTACCTGAGACCACCCTGCAGCAGGCCATAGTCAACACACAGGTGCGTGAACACACAGTCCTACACTTGGACTACAGCAGATCCAGACCAGTATGTGGGTCGATATTATTGTTTAACACAAGTACGTTTAGGAGTATATATATATATATATATATATATATATATATATATATATATATATATCTGCATCAAAAATGTCAGACTGGGTCCGGCTCTACACAACATTAGTCAAGCTTCAGTCATCATTCACCACACGAATATTAGCTCAACCGTGGTACAAACAAGTGAACACCAATCGTTACAGGATTGTTGATGTGGTGTGTGTGTACTGTACGTACACGTATGTACGTACAGTACGTATACGTACGTACGTTGTGTGTCTGCACTACTCGTATGTGTGTGTTTGTGTGTTAGGTAGTTGATGGCTTCTTTGTGAAGAGAGTCCAGGATGTGAGGGAGTCAGCTGCCTACCTCACCGTCATGACGCGGTACCTGATTAAACTCTATCAGGTAACGCGCACACACAGTTCATTTTCTTAATACACACAATGCTTGTTAGTAGGATCGTCCCCAGTTACGTTGCTTTGTATACTATCTCCTAGATGACACTGAACCATGCTTTACATTCGGTCTTGTTCATCTTTACTTCAGAACTGTACGCTGATCTGTCGCTCCAGAGAGCTGGAGGGTGATGGAGGGAGTGATGAGGAGGAGGAGAGAGGAACGCCCTCCTGCTCTCTCATCTCTTTTGCAGAGTTCAACCACGGTGCAGTCAAAAACAAGGTGTGTGTTTGTGTGTACACGGTTTCGACAAGCACTTTGAATTTGCAAATGAAGAAATACTGCAAAAACTGCTGCTCCTCAGCGAGAGAGTTATTCAGTGCCTTATTTTGGGCTTCAACAACACACACGCGTGTTGTTTCTCTCTCTATATATACAGTGTGTGTATATACATACAGTGTTACATTGTGTGTTTGTGAATCCCTGTTTCCCTTCTAGTGTCAGACGGTGAGAGAAGTGTTTGCAAGACAGTTGATGCAAGTTAGCGGTTTGTCTGGAGACAAGGCAGCTGCTATACTGGAGCAATACAGCACTCCACACAGGTAACATCTCACCCACTCACCAAGAAGTCTTCCCCATTACCTCCCTTTTGTTCCTGGTGACATACTCGTGATGTCACGTAGCACCAAGAAGCCTCTCTTTAGATTGAATGTGAACGTATCTGGGTAGTGAGCACCAGCAGAGATATCGTGGATGCAGAAAGAGCAAATTAAGTTTTAGAAACTTACTGAGGAAGACGTAACATTTCTGCCAGTTATGCCTATTTCCACTTTTATTTGAATACAAATAAGTTTGCTTCCTCAACAAACACAAACACAATCACTGGGATCTTTTTAATCTTCCTGCTTCTCTGTTCACGTCAGTCTTCTGACAGCCTATGAACGGTGTGCGAGTGAAGCACAGAAAGAAAAACTCCTCTCTTCCATCCGACACGGGAAGCTCAAACGGTTTGTAACTTGATTTATATTTTATGATTCGTGTGGTGTTTGTTGTTACCCAGTCAAGACAAAGACGAAGTATCATACTTGAGTCAAACGACTGACTTCACTAAAATATACTCAACTAGCAGTTAGGTTGAGCGTGACGTGTTAACTTAAGTTGAATTCTAATAGGACTTTGATTTGTGAAACCCTTTCTACACACATGGAAAGAACAAAACATATATGCTAAATAAGATTAAACACATCAGAAGTGCTACAAGGAGCGACTGATTGTTTCTTTCCTTTGTTTTGCAGAAACCTTGGTCCAGCTCTGAGCAGAACGGTTTATCAGCTGTACTGTACTCAAGGAGCTCTGTCATAGTCACCGGTGAACATCTGTCATTCACATCTGTCTCAGAGACAAACTCAGGCTCACTTACTGTGAATACATTAACACTATTAGTTCCTAATTTACTATGTAAATACAAAGACGCTATATTTTAATCTCTGTAACATGCTATTTGTATAAAGAATTTCACAAATGTATCCTCATACTGCATCAATAAAATGTATTATTTTGAATAGTATTTTATTGCAAATGTGAAGACCAGTGTGCAGGTTTTAGTGGCCTCCAGCGGTGAGGCTGAATACTCTTCTGCTCGCTCCCTCTTCAACCGTGTCAGAGAACTACGGTGGCCTGAAGGGAACGTAAAAGAAACGTGTTCCCAAGATTCCTTTCGTCGTTAGCATGCTTAGAGTTTAGCCTTTCGTTGGGTTGCAGAAACGGCTTGCTGAAGGAAGCTAATGCTAAAGGCACTGAACTCTGGGATTACGCCATCTGGGAAACCGTTAACCGGAGCACTATGCCTGGGAATGTTTTATGACTTTTCAACATGCTATACCATCACATTTTTAACTATGGAATACTATATTCATCCTGATTAAGTATTGCATGTCGTAAAACAATCATAGTTTGACATTTCATAAAATTGTAATGGCATTTTAACATTTATGGCAAATGACCCAAGTTAAACAGTTTTTCCAAATTGTTAAATTGATTGAACAAAATGACGACATGCCGTTTTCAGGGTAGATTTTTTTTCCTTAGTTTAATTCTAAAATAAATATATAGACAAAGGAAGTGAAGATATCTGGTGATTCCACTAGAGGAAAACCAGGTTGCTCTACTGGCCGCGTCACGGGAGAGTGTAATTAGTAAATCAGGCAAATTTAATGGAAAAATAAGCCATGTAGAAAACAAACACACAGACAGCATGCTGGATGCTCCAGCAATCAGGTGGTTGAAAAGAATAAAAATACAATGCGTTTGCTTCTTTTGAGTAATTCAATAAACTGAGGAAATCTGGCAATGTGCACACCTACAGGGGATCTCAGGAGTTATACTCTCTACTCATTGGATAAGAAATGTACTTGCATGTTCCTGTACGAGCCGGGTGAAGCAGATATGTATAGAAGTTGGGAATGCATGGCTTAGGTGCACCAAAGAAAGCCACGGCACAGCGGTTACATTTTCTACGGTACGCTATTAGGACGATGTGAACGCTATTAAATCACATGAATACCCCACATGGGAGGTCAAAGTCTGGAAATCACTTAATAAAACAAAGTCAATTGAGAATCTAAATGTGTGGTAACTTGTTTAAGAATGTCTTGCTTTCATAGGTTGACTCAGATGGTATTACATGTATAATTAAAAGAAGAAGTGGATGATTGTTTGCCTCAACCCTGCCATCTCCACTATGGTCCATAACTTGACAATTTATGATATTTACAAAAAATAGGAATACAAAAAAAAAAACCTGTTAATCTGTTCCAAGATGAGTCCCGTCTAACCCGACAAAGTGCCGTTTCGATTACCATCTCCTTCTCAAGGTTCAAATGTGTTTAGGTCTGCCTTAAAACAACCGTAGCACGGCATATGTACATTGAAATAGGCTTCGTAAGCATTCCTCCTCTCCATACTGGCTGCAGTTTCTTAAAATGCATTTTACACATAATTGTGGGGTTTGTCCCTACGTCTCTTAAATTGGAATCAGGTTTGCAAGGGTTCGCTTCACAGCCAGTGTGAGCAGGAGGATATTTACAGAGACCACTTATCATTTCAGTGTACAGACGGGCACGCAAGTGTTGTATTAACACACGCCTGAAAGAAATCAGAAGCCTTTCTTTAACCCCACCTCCCTCATGGTACAATAAGAGCGCATTGTTCCCCGAGTTCAAGCTAGAGTCTCTCCAATGGTCCTCATCAAGACAAGCGCATCTTTGCTTTAGGTTTGAAGTGTGTCTGAATCAAAATGCTACTGCTGTTACACAGTCAAATATTCAAGTCCACGCAGATCCAGCTCTTCTGTTTTGCCTCATCAGTCGTGTCAACCTAAGTATTCAGATCCAAGTGAATCTGAGACGCTTGTGGTCGGGTTCCCCCAAACTCCCTCGGAAGCAACAGAGTGAAACTTCACCTACAGGTGAAAAACATTCTTTTGGTTCCAGGACAGAGTTAGGCAGGGCAGTCTCTACGTTCAGATAAACAGCCGGTATCAGGATCCTGGATCCACTGATCATTCATTACCATGTTGGCTCTAATGTGTCCCTCTAGACAGCCATAGTGATGCAGGGTTTAGGCGAGGGGACCAAAACCTTCAGGAGAAACCAAAGTCATGCGCTGTAACACATACAGCAGTCCCCTTTGGCTCCGATACGCAGTTAGTCGGGCATGTCGATGCAGAGTTTAGGGGGCGGGACAAAATATTTCCCGGGGCTCTGTGTGATCACCACGCCGGTCTTCTTGTGGAACATGGGGGCGATCTTTGGTGGCGGCTCGGGAACGGGCATGTCCTCGACCGCCTCGGGGTCCTCGCTGCGCTGGAGGTCGTAGGACACGTTACCGTACTCCCGGAGGAAGGGGAGGAGCTCCAACAGGAAGTGGCAGAAGTCCTTGCGGATGCCGAACCACCCTACAGATCAGAGGGGAATTTAAAGGGTAGCTTTGGTATTTTTTTCCCCATGTTTAGTGTCTAAATAATTAATAAAATGAATTCCTGCTCACGCACTGCAATGTGATCTCTTGGGGCAAGCTGACACCGTCATTTAAAACCACTAAAAGTGCTTTTTTTTTTTTTTCTCCAATGGCGGTAAATACTCACAGTGGTTCCCCCCCTTCTGGCCAAACGTGGTGGCCATGAGTGTGAGCAGGGAGAGCCAGAGCGGGACGAACACGCACACGTAGCTCAGACTGTTGTGGCCGTCCAGCTTGTGCACCAGAAGGATCTGAGGAGACACGTGAATGTTAGGAGTCATTAGAAAGCCAACGTGCATGAAGCTGTGAGTGTGTATACGCACACATACGCCTAAAATGGTGATGATCAAAGAAAGCAAACGCACATAAATAGCTTAAGAAATTGGTATTAAACTCTTTCTTTATGGTGTTAACAAAATATATGTATGTTTAAAGACTATACATATATTTGGCCAGCAGAGGGCATGATAGGCACATTTTATGATTAAAGAACTTTTCTATAATATTTAGTGATATGAACGATATCATTCTGATAATCTAATTGGTTTGTTTGGAGTTCATTAATATTTGTTCAAGGACTTGAAAAGGTGTAATTTGGGCCTGAAGACGTATATATGAAGAATAAACACAATATAACTCGCCTCAAAGGTGAGAAGGGGCACGACGATGGTCATCCAACTGATGGCCATGGTGATGTGAGTCCGCCGCTGCTCGGCGATGATGTCAATGGAGCGGAGGAAGAGGACCGACCAGATGATGTAGTAGAGAACGACCAGGCACAGGAAAGACATCAGGATCCACAGCGGGACACACACCACCTGGGACACACACACACACACACACACACACACACACACACACACACACACA